AGTCTTCATTTCTAAACTTCTCAGGTGAATATGTAGAGTTCATAACTGACAATAGATACCTACTATGGGTGAATTTGGCTAATACTGAGTATATTTAGTTTCTTATTATTAGACAGCTCGTACAACTATCCTGTTATTTAACAGTGCAAAAAATGATCTAGGAAAGTTACTGACACTGAGAAGGCAAAAGCAAACATATAATGAAGCATCTGATACTCTTCTCAATATATGTAATAAGATATTTTAATGAGTTAAGTGAATTTGAATATTTAAACTCTGAATAACCCTGATGTGGGGCCAACTGATGTCCTTCAAAGTCCAAGGACCCCCAATCCTGGGCTCTCAGATATTTGCCTGTGATCTCTCAACAGATGAAGTACATACTTTACTGGCCATGTTCGCCCTAAGAAACTAATAGCCTTAGGTAATGCCTAATCTCACAATAGCTCATGATGGCTTGTTTCAGCCCACCTTACCAGAGTCATAAACCCCACCGCCCTTTACAGACCCTAAACTTCTTACCTCACTTACAACCAATCAGAGACTTGTGCACAAGCCAATCAAGCACCTTGGGACCCTACCTTATAAAAGACCGCAACAACTGACCCTCGGTGTTCACACAGGCACCCCTCTTCTGTGTGGCCCACTGCTGTCTACAGCAGTGTAACCTAATAAACGCCTTTTTTATTCTCACCCTTTGTCTTTGGTAAATTCTTTTACTGCCCTCAACATCGGCCCCACCTTGTCCCTCAACACCTGACAAATTGTTCTCTGAAATTAAAGCAATATTCCACATACAATCCAAAATCCTAGAGGCTTGTTTTCAATGGCTGCTTCCTGCCTGCAGAGTATAAGAAAAAATGTTCTATCCAATCACTTCAAAAGCATACCCAGAGACAAGAGCTTTAATGTAGATATCAGAAGACATAAAAAATATATGAAAGGATGACATTGTGATAATAAGAAATGGTTGGTTGCAAGACTTTTTGAATTCATTATGCAGAAACTGACAGAGCTTCCCCTTAAATTCCAAAATCAGTCTACTAAGTGGAGTTCTATCTTCATGCTGAGAAAAATCGCTGAAAATGAGGAGTTCAGTAGGTCTGAACACAGGCAAATTATAGCACCCTCTGACATGTTAAAGTGATTTCAGGGAAAATATAGTTCTTTATCTACCACACCAGAAATGATAAAACTAATCATAAACAAAGAATCATAGACGCTTCTAAACTGACTGATAAACTTCCAACCAAGCAAGAATCTCCTAACAACATCACTGACCTAGGGTTTCCTAGCCTCTGCTGAACCCTTTTCACGGACAAGAAACCTGTTCCAACATATTAGACCAAAATTGTCATCTTTTTCACTCTTAACCAATGTTGTAATAGAAAATAAGAATGCACTCTTTGCCACAAAATGGCTCTTTAAATGTTTAAAATAATTAATACCATCTAGTGCCAAGTCACTCAAGTTTAGACTATCACTTTCCTCAATCACTCACAGAAGAAAATGGCCCAGCCTGTTAACCCCTTAACAAGCAACTGTTAACATTTTAACAAAGTTTAGTTACCATTCTTTTTTTTAACATTTTTTATTGATTTATAATCATTTTACAATGTTGTGTCAATTTTACTTACCATTCTTTAGAAGAGGGACACAAGAATTCCATGTGGGGTCTGACTGGTAAATAAGCAGCTAGGAATTATTAAGTTCATCTGGAATTCTATTTACATATGAATTTAGTCAAAAATTGCATTCGTTTTATTTTAGTCTGGTCAACCCATTCTGCTTTTATTTATGTCTTATGGTCTTTAAATTTTTTGGACATTCAGAAATTGGGTGTTTACATTATTTATTTATTTATTTATTTATTTATTTATTTATTTATTTATTTATTTTTTAGTCAGTTTAAAATGTGTCAATTTCTGGTGTACAGCACAGTTTTTCAGTCATACATTAACATACATACATTCATTTTCATATTTTTTTCACTGTGAGCTACTACAAGATCTTGACTATATTTCCCTGTGCTGTTTTAGTAGCTGGAGGTAATAGAGAAAATATATGTATTGGTCTCTTCTCTTGGTTCCTGGCACAGAGTTCCTGAAGTCTTTGTAAATTCCTAAGTGATGAGCATTAGGGGTATCTTTTGTTCTAATATTTGGTCTTTGACCCCAGTTTCTGACTGAGTTCCTAAATCCTTTAGAATTTCCTGGATGATTGGAGTGTCTTTCGTTCTAATGAGGCGACTTTGGGTGAGCTTGTGGATGGCTCTCTGGATGGGGGCTGGTCGCTAGAAACGCCAAACCATAATTAGAAGCTTGGATTTAGCCCCAACCCCTATCCTCTAGAGAGGGGAGAGGGACTGAAAAAGGAGTTAATAATTGATCATGCGTAAGTGAGGAGGCCTCCATAAAAATCCCAAAAGTACAGAGTTCAGAGAATTGGGAGGTTGGTGAACACATCCATGTACCCAGGAGGATGCTGCACCCCAACTCTATGGGACCGAAGTTCCTGAGCTCTCAGGATCCTCCCAGACCTCGCCCTATGTATGGTATCTCTTCATCTGACTGTTCATCTGTGTTCTTTATCATATCCTTTAATAACTGGTAAATGTAAGTAAGTGTTTCCCTGAGTTCTGTGAGCCACTCTAGCAAATTAATTGAACCCAAGAATGGGGTCATGGGAACCTCTGATTTGCAGCCAAGTCAGACAGAAATTGTAGGTAACCCAGGGACCTACTACGAAATCAGCATCATAGGCGGGGAGCCCTTAACCCGTGGGAGCTGACGCTATCTCCAGGTAGATAGTGTCAGAATTGGGTTTAGTTGTGGACACCCAAGCGCTGTCAAAGAATTGCTTGCTGAGGGAACATTTACACACATCTGGTGTCAGAGGTGTTGTGAGTGTGGTAGTAGTGTGAGAGTAAAGGAGAAACAGGGGGAAGACTGGAGGTTTTTCCAAGCAGTAACCTACACATAACTTTGTTTTGTGAGTTTCACTCCTAATAAAACACTTAGATTGTTTTCACCTGAAATTCTGTCAAAGGGCATTTAAAAAATTTGTAAGCATTTTTTTTTCTATGAATGCCTTCTTAGTACTATCGGATTTTTGATCTCTTCCTCTCTGACTATAACAGACACTATGGCCGTGTTCTAGATCCTGCTTCTAATTGTCCCTGAAGCTTAGCTATACCCTTGGGATTGCCAAGGGTACATGAGCTAATAAATTCATTGAAAGGAAAAAGAAAAAAAAAAGCCACTTTTCCAACAAAACAAGTGCTAACATAAATACAGATTTTTCTATCTCAAGTTTTATTTATTCTTTCCTCCCAATTTTATGATAATAAATATGAATTTATTATCTTGGAGCTCTACAAGTCAGAAATCCAACATGAGTCTCATTGGCTAAAATCAAAGTGTTGCCAGAGCTGTGGTCCTTTCTGGAGGTTCTAGGGAAGACAGTTTCCTTGTTTTTCCAGCTTCTACAGACCATTTGCTTTCCTTGGCTCAATGATCCCTTCCTCCATCTTTAAAGGCAGCAACCCTGCATCTCTCTAACATTCTCCTGCAGTCACATCTCTTTGACCCCGACCTCAACTGAGGAAGGAGGGTCTTTTAAGGACTCTTGTGATTAACTTGTATCTACCTGGATAATCTCAAGGTCCTTAATTTCAAGCACATGTTGAAAGTCTCTTTTGCCATCCCATATAATATATTCATAGTTCTGGAGGTTTAAGCATAGATAATTTGGGTGGTGGTGAAAGAATGGGGGTAGTGGGCTGAGACATTATTCTGCCTCCCACTGAAAATGAGAACAGCATTCCATCTCCCACAGCATTCAATTCAGTAATAAAAATATATTAAACAGGAGAAGCCAGACACTCTCCACATTAATAGCAGCCTGTTAATCAACATTATTTGGAAACAGTTGTTTAATTCAAAACGATTTCTTCAGAATTGTTTTTCTAGAAAGGAAATTTCTGCTGGTTTTATGTTTTCCTGAGAATGAAGATCTTTACTGGATTTCCCCAGCATACAATCAGAATGCAATCTTTGAAAAGCAGAATTTCCATACTCACATCCTTGAAGCCCGAGGCTGCTACCATTCTTGAGTACAGAGAGTAAACACAGCATCTCTCTTTGTTTTACTAATTGCTTTGTTTCCCCAAGCTGCTGGCACAACATCTGCCCGGCCAGAATGCACTCTTTCCACACACCATAGAACCACTGCTGCCCAGATAAACGACCCGTGCTCCGTGGTGTAGGGCAAGTGCTCTCCAGGCACTCAGCAGGCTATTTTCAAGAGGCAAAGATTTCAAGCAGATATGAAGCTGTAGCCCCTCCCCTCCCCAAATCTTTAGAGTGGTTATGGAGTTGTTGATTGTTTAATGATCTCATACTGTCTGCAATTTTATTGATTTTGTTTTTCAATAGAACCGTTAAAGATGACAATTCTCAAATAGGCAGCACTTGGGCAGACGCGCGTATTCTCACACACCCAGCTCTGCCAAGTTATTTTTATATCCGTCTGCACATGAAACAAAATGAAGACATGTGTTATAGATGCATGCTACTGGTAACCCCCCACAAGAAAGGAGTTTATTGTGCATTCATTTCCTGGATGAAGTATTAAAACAACTCCACCTAGAAATAAATGAACAGTCCTTCCAAAATAAAAAGAGATTTTGCTTCTGAGGCAGCTTATAAATCATTCCTAATTACCAAAACCCACTGAAACAGCAATAATCAAATGTCATCCCTGCTATTTCTAATTTCATATAAACTTCTTGTCAGTTACTGGTTAAGCATCAAAATACAAAATGCTGTAACAGCTTATGCTCTGTTGATGTTCAATCATCTACTGTGCATCAGAAAGGCTCATTTCAAATATGGCATGAAAGGAAGAAAAGTAAGCAAAAACCAAACTCAGAAGAGACTTGAAATAAACTGCCTCCAGAAAAACACTTAAGAGGAAAAATTGCAAAATCATAGCCTTACCTTGGGAGACTTGGGCAGAGCCACTGTCCTTTCCTCTGCTAAGTTTAGCAGGGTTAACTTTGTTTCCTCCACTGTGGGACGTTTGGGAGGTCGAGGTGGGGGGTGCAAGAAAGAGCTTTCATATCTCCGCATCATGTAATACTGTTCTTCAGTGATCTCTTCGACCAGAGTCCTGACTAGAAATGATCCTGGCTCCCTAGACAAATTACTAACTAACTGAACAGTCATATTCAAGCGGCCAACAGGAATTTCCCAGCACTCCCTGGGGTTGGCAAAGTCACTTATGAGGAGATACGAGTCTGTGATAGCTTCCTCTAACTGTAGTCCTGGTATAGCAGCCAAAATGTCTTCTTCAATGGAAAGATCTCTCACAGATACCTTCACGTTGAAGGGCAAGCGGAACTGTGAACAGAGCTCAGAAATCTGGTACTGTTTCTTATCATGAATCACCTCTACAAAACCTCCTTCCATGTACAAAGGGAGCAGGGCTGCCTCATAGGATTTTGTGAGGATTTTTTCACAGGTCAGAACATTCACCACTTTTTTGATTCCTTCACAGAGGACTTCAGTTGTCTGTGAGTGATGCACTAGAAACTGGTCCCCGACAGATACAGATGACAGCTCATCATGGGGGGGATGAAAAGCTTTGGTGGCTACCACGTGGAGAGGCTCCTTTTCACTCTTTGCTATCTCGAGGTCATAGGCTGTTGGGAACTCCCGAGGTCGCCTCTTGAATTTGCCTTTGTAGCTAGTGGGGATCAAGAAGTGTCTTTTAGGAAAATTGCTTCTAATTTCTGAAGTTAAGATCCTCGATGCCTGATACTTTTTGTGGATCACAATGGTTTTCCCAGGCTGTAAAATGCTTCTGGGTAGCTGGTTTCCTTGAGGAACTTCTATGACTTCAGCCACTATGGGGAACTCCTTACTGGTCATTTCAAAAAGATCTTGTGTTGTTAACAGCTCAAGAAACCAGTTGGCATCACAACTGTCCGTAATGTCTTTAACTTCAACATCTAAACTGGGGAGGATACGGACTATATCTTTTCTGTCTGGAAAAGGAAAAAAAGACTATGACATTTCTGTGCATCAAAATATTGCTCTAAAGTAATATTAGAATCTCTCCAGGTACCAGAGATAAATTTCATTAAAAAAAACTCAGATGTTCATGATATAACATTTCTTATGTATGATTTTCCTTTTTTAAATTTAAAAATGAAATAGATCATAAATAAAACCAACACCCATATATCTGCTTCTGCTTAGCTTCAGAGATAGACATAAACCAGTACCTTGGAGTTCTACAAACCTCACCAAAATCACATCCTCCTTACTGCAACCTAAGGGTTGCATTGTCCTGATTTCAATGTTAACCATTTCCTTGTTTTCCTTCATAGTTTTACCACACATAACATACACGAATATATATGCCTTTAAACACATATATATGTGTTTAAAGGTATATATATGTGTGTGTTTTTTCCCAGAAAATTTATTACATGGTTTTGAGTCATGCTTTTGAAGTCCTGACACTGTATGTAAAATTATCTTAGAAGAAAGTTTTGGTACTTCAAATAAGACCCTTTCTGTGTAAGGCCCACAATATACATCCTGCACACAAAATTCTATCCTGTGGGGTAAAACTGTATTGCAATATCAGGGGACATAAAGTACTCAGGATTAATATATGGAAGTGGATAGATACCAAAATGCAGTCTTTTTCCAATGTGAAAACTATTTCTCTGTTGGTGCTATATCAACACCTTGATAGAAAAGGAATGGCACAGGATGGGTTACAGTTAAAGGAGCCACTCAGGAGCCCTGGTGTGCTGGTGGGGTGCTTACCGATGTATTCTTTGGCGAATGTGTCACTGGAGACTAATGAATCTCTGTATTTTTTCCAAGAGCCACTGTCTCAGAAGTCTTTCTTGGAGACTACAGAGATACTTAAAATACTATCCTGAAACCATCCACTTTTTATACACTGACCTACATAATAAATGTCCCACCTTATAAATGGTCTTACATTAAAAAAATAAAGTTATATGTTAATATTAACAGGATTTTATAATAGTTTATATTTTCTTGACAGTTTTCTAAACCTAATATTGGTTGTATAGCCTTTTCATGATCCACAATTGCTTCCCAGTATATCTAGACGCCCTTCTGTCGATACTCTTTTTCCTCCATATGCTTTTAAAAATTAATAATTTAATTTAGAAGACCAAATTTTTTCTTATAAAATAATATCTATATTATTAATTTTTCTATTATTAACTGTTTATGCAGCATCTGGAGACTATAATTCATGTCTTATTATTTGTACATGTGGTGTATCAGAGTTCCTAAAAATATAGCACCAAATAGCATTATTTTATTTTCTTGAACATAAAAAAGAAAAAGAAAAAAGAAAAAAACAATGGTTGTCCAAAAGCTGATGGTCCGTAAAAATTGTAAAGATTCTCCATTTTAAAAAGGGTTGGAGGAAAGAAAGGGGCTAAAAATTATTTATCAGTTCATTTTATGAAGTTAGGAAACCCTAACTTTTGAAATCATTGCCACAGGCTTCCCTGAAACTCAAGATAATTTTAGAAACTCTAAAATCTCACTTGTTTGGATCAAAATAAACTAGGTTTAAGAACTGTAGAGCTAGAACTAGACAGGTTCATAGATTCATTTTTCAAATGGAGGGAATAGCTCGACATTGGTAGAATAGATGGCATTAAAGACTTTCTGAGGGCTCTAAATTGATTCATCATAACAAAGGGACTGTAATGCAAGCGAGAACCCAATCTATATTTGGGCACTGGGTACAGTGGGAAAGGAATTGTTTTAATACCCCAGGAGGACTTTATTGCCAGAAAAAGCCTCTGGGACAGGCTACCTAACTACTGTTAAATTTTTATGTGTCTAGTTTCTGACCTATTTTAAATACTTCTGTACCAAATCCACTGAAGATATGCCAGTATATCTCATTTTACTTGATGTATCAGAGGCATTTGACAGAGTAGGTACAACTCTTTCCCCTTTACTACATTTTCCTCACTTATTTCCTTATCTTACTTATAGTTCAACTTTTTTTTTGCTAGTATCTTCTCTACACACACCACCCACTCTCCACCCACCACACACCTTTTAATGTGTCTTGATTCTGTTCCTTTCTGTCTACACTCACACCCACATGATCTTACAGTCTTATATGTTTAAGAACCATCTGTATGCTGATGATTCCCTGAAGTGTATCTCTAGCCAAAGAAGTCTCCTGTATGCCAAATATCTACTTAAGATTTCCACTTGGATGTCTAATAGATATCTCAAAATAAGCGTGCTTAAACTGAAATTCTACTCTTTCCAACCAAAACCTAATCTATCTATTTTTCCATCTCAGTTATTGGGGACTCCATTCTCCTTGTTAAATCCAGAAATCTCAGAGACATTCTTAGCTTCTCTCTCGCTTTCCTAACAATCAACATCCATTACATTAAAACTACTCTGATCTCAGCCACGTTATTTATTGCCTGGTTTATTGCGATGGCTTCCTAACCAGTATCCTGCCACATAGTCTTTTTGAACGTGAAACTGATAATGTCTTTCTTCTGTTCATAGCCCCACGGTGGCAGTCCTTTTCACTCAGAATAAAAGTCAAAGTCCTTACCAAGGTCCTAGGAACCATTTGGATCTCATGTGCCACTGGGTTGCTTCACTCCAACTTACTGCTGCCTCCCTTGTTGTTAATCAGGTCTTTGCATGGTCTGTTTCCTCTGCCTGCCACATCCTTCAGCCAGATATGTTTACAATCAACACTCCTACTAATTCTCCTTCTTCTTCAACTCTACTTAAATATTAACTTCTCGATGAGACTTACTGAAAATGTTGTTTCCAAAAACTGAATGTTTGTGTTCCCCCAAAATTCGTTTTTTGAAATCTAACCCCCAATGTGATGGTATTTGGAGGTGGGACCTTTGGGTGGTGATTAGGTCACGAGATTAGTGCTCTTATAAAAGAGACCCCAGAGGACTCCCTTGTCCTTCTGCCATGTGAGGACCCAGTGAACAGGCGGCAGGCTGCCTGTGAACTGGGAAGTAGACCTTTACCAGATACCAAATCTGCCAGCATCTTACTATTGTACTTCCCAGCCTCCAAAACTATAAGAAATAAATTTCTGTTGTTTATAAGCCATCCAGTCTACGGGATTTTATTTTAGCCACCAGATGGACTAAGACAGTGCTCAATTTAAAACTGCAATTATCTCTGTCCTTTGCCCTTCTCTACTTCTCTATGTTCCATGTCGCCCTTTACCTTCAATCATTCCATACAATTTGCTTATATTTATTATGACCACTGTTTATTGTTTGTTTACCCAAAATGGAATATGTTCCATATGGAGCACAAGCTACACAGGGATAGGAGTCTTTCTTTGGTTCAACAACACAACCCAGTGTCTAGCATGGTGTCTAGCACACAGTAGGTACTCAATAATTAAATAAACTGAATGAGTGAAAAAGAAATGAAGGAATAATGTCCTTGACTGAGCTTCAAAGGTTATGATCTCATAAACAAGCAGAGTTCCACGTAAAATTTCATTTTCTACTGCTAAAACTCTTATTGTACATCATAGAAGGTAGTGTGTATTTCATTTAAAACATGCCATTTCAGGTTGTCGTTTATCTTATTCAATACAATTTTTTTGTATTGTTTAATTTCTACAACATAATAATCTTGACATTTTAGGGTATGAAAATAATCATGATGCATATACCTGAAGAGAAGATTCAGTACAGGGAAATAGCACATGTAGTGAAAATCAACTATCCTTCTTGGATCCATCAGAGAATTGAGGTTACAGGACAAACTGTCACCCTCAAAACTGGAGAAATGGGGGAATATAGAGATTTATAGCTTTGGGGAAGCAGAAACCACTGCTGGAGCCAAAACAGGTAAGAACACTTTAAGAGTAACTAATTGCTGGAGACTAAGCATGGACAAGCTTGAGAGATAAAACTTATGGAGGACCAGGCTTAGGGGGATCCCCTACGCTTTCCTGAGCTCACTTCCAGGAACCCCACCAGCTTCTCAGGATGAAGATCTGAGAAAAATCCCCTCATGCTTTGGGCAGGGTGAGGGGAAAACTAACCATTTTGAAATACGCCCAGATCACAACAAGTTTGTCTTAAAAAAAGGCTTGCCCTCAAGGAAAACAATTTTACCACAGCCTGAACAACTTGGGTCTTACCAGAGTCTAACTAATGTGGGGGAAAGGAATTTCCCAACTCCAGCTACCTCTAGACTTCCATATGGGGAAGGGAAATACCCAACTCAAGCCTCCTCTATCCTTCTTCACGAGGGAAGGGAAATACATAGCTCCTGACCATGACAGCCATTCTGTCTCACCAAGGGGATGTGGGCAATAAAGCTGAGAAGCAGGGTCAGTAAAAGACTGAGACCTAATTACAGGATTACAGAATGCTTCCCCTCCCCTAAACATCACCACCCATATCAAGAAGATTTCTAAATAATACCAGGAAATTACAGTAGAAAGAATGGCATTTACAACCCCTATTTTAAAAGGTCTCTAGGGAAAGACGATAGGGGAAACAATAAACAAGGACACTACATAAAATTTTAGCTTCTGACACCTACAGGTACAGCAAACAGTGAACTAACTCCCAGCCAGATAAACCTAAAACCTCATAACAACGGCACATTTACCTGTTTATTTGGCCTAATACATCATGCCTAGCTTTCAACAAAAAACTGCAAGGTGTGTTAAAAGGCAAACAGCACAGTCTGAAAAGACAAAGGAAGCATCAAAACCAGACTCAGATATGGCTGAGATTTTGGAACTGTAACACTGGAAATTTAAAATGATTAACACACTAAGGGCTCTAATGAAGGAAAATGCAAGAAAAGATGGGTAACTTAATCTGCTTAAATATTATCTTCTCTGTGCTAGAAATTAAAGACATGTGGGAAAAGAAATGAAGGATGACTTTCATGGGTTTAGACTGGACATAGCTAGGGAAAGAATCAGTGAGCTTGAAGACTATGTCCA